GGGCGCGCGGTGGGGCCGTCCGGTGAGCGCAGCCCCGACGGCCGTGGAGCCGTTTCCTTCCCAGTAAGTCGTTAGAGAAAACCATCTGAGGTAAAACTAAAGCTTTCCCTTGTAGTACAATTCATATTGCAGGATCAGATGTAAATTTCATATTAACAGTTTAAAAGGAAATTGTCTTTTACTGTAGCTGGCATTGATGAAGGGATTTGCGGTTCGTAGCTTTAATTTGTGGCAGTGTCGCTACAGTCTAGGGCGGGACAGCGTGAGATACTGGGTTTTCAGATCAAAACGGCATGAAGTCTCACAATAACGTCGTGGAGAACCATCACTGGGGAGTTCCTCAGCTTTCAAGGTGACTGAGCACATTTTCAGAAACATGACATTCTCTCTGCTCTACTTCTTTTTGACCAGTTACTTCTTTATCATTTTGTGATCTTTTTGAACATTGTCGGGTTTCACTCTGAGAAACTCTGCTCTGACCTAAAATATAGCAGAGCTATATGGAGGGGACACAACTGTACTATCTTATGTCATGCTCTTCATCTCCTTCATCTTCTCTGTCTGGCTCCCAGTATCTTTTCTCCCAGAAAAGAATATTGTTGACACAAAGATGGAGCATACAACTAAAGATATTTTATGACTGACATCTTAGATAGCTAGATGCTTAATGCCATCTCTTATTTGCTTTCACAATCTTTATGCATTTCTATAACAAATCAATTCAGAATTATTGTCCGCAGCTCTGGGAACTATAAAAAAATAATATACAGTGAACAGGTGGTTTTTTTCCAGATAAATCTTAACAGGAAGTATGTGAAGTGAAGCACCACTGGCTTGTGTGTGCTGTGTCTCCTCCTCCTGTGCTAGGCTGCTAGCAGTGGTAGCTACTGTAGTTCCTCCCACAGCAGCCAGTTTGTTTGCCTTCCGTGCAGCTCGAGACACCTCCTGCAATATTTAGTCAAACATTTAAAAAGAAACGGCTGCTGCTGAGGAGATTGAGGCTGAAAGACCCTTCCTAGGGAAGGGGAACTGAGGACGTGGAACTTTGTCAGGCTTTCAACTTCAGAGCAGTTCAATCGAGGAGCAAGATCAGTTGAGAGGTGTGAGGGAGAAGGAAGTTAAGGGTAGCTGTGCTGAATGGAGCGTGGGCACAGCTTTGTGTTGCTGAGGAGCAGCTGTGTGCATTTGGGCTCAGGAGGTGTCTCAGGAACACTGAATGAGCATACTGCAAGAATAGGAAAATTTATAATCAAACTACTTTGCACAAATTCAGGGCATTGGTTTCACTCTCCATTAAATAAGTGTCCTCAGTACGCTTTGTTCTTTGTTCTACTTTAGTCCATTCTGGACTTTCCCATTTCCTCATTTGCCTGCTGAATTTTCTTCTTCAGCTTTTCAGGTCCCATTTAGGTTTGGTGTTTGTTTTTTGTTTGGTTTTTTGTTGTGTGGTTGTGGGTTTTTTGGTTGATTTAGGTTGGGTTTTCTTTGGTTGTGGATTTTTTGTTTGTTTGTTTGTTTTCCTAATTGTCATTTAAAAAAAAAAAAATCACCTAATCAAACATTGGAACAGGCTGCCCTAGGAAGTGTGGAATTCTCATCCCTGGATGTGTTCAAAAGGCATGTGGATTTGGCACTTGAGGATATGGTTTAGTGGTGAACACAGCTGTGCTGCATTAACAGTTGGACTCAATGTTCTTAAAGGTCTTTTCCAAACTTAATAATTCTATGATTACATTTCTTTTTACAGGCTAGATTTTATCCATCTCTCCAGCCAAATTCTTGAAAGGAGTTTACTTCTCCAACCTCTGTGAGGCTATTTATCTTTTATATTTGTTTGCTTTTCTCTTGTTTTCTGTGATTGCTTGTTTAGTAATTCCATCCTCCTCCACAGGTCTCCTTTCCCTTCTCCTTCGTATTGCATACACCATCTTTTCCTGTCAGTTCCAATTCTCTTTTCACAAATTCCACTCACAAATTCTTCTGTTTCTTCATTCTCCCACTCCAAACACAGCATGTTCTTCCCTACACATCAGCAAAGACTTGGGAAACTTTGAACAAGAAATCTATTCTTTTGATATCAGTGTCATTTTGCAGGTAAAAAGAAAAAAATACTTCTCCTTATAGAACCTGTCTTCTCCCCTTCTTGCTTTGGCAGTGAAGTAATATGTTATGTTATGTTATGTTATGTTATGTTATGTTATGTTATGTTATGTTATGTTACGTTACGTGTTATGTTGTTATGTTACGTTACGTTACATTACGTTACATTAGGTTATGTTATGTTAGGTTGCGTTACGTTACATTGTATCATATCTCATGTTAATAATTTCTGTTTTCAGGTTCCATATTCCAAGAACTGACCTGCATTATATCTAGAAACTTTCCAAATAGCAATGGCCAGACTGTTGCAAGATCCATCTAAATTTCATCCCTCAGAATGGTACATTGCAAACAATATGCAGCGTGCTAGAACAGAGTCCCAGAAATCCAGGTCAGAATGCATGATAGCTGAGAGCTGGAGGCTGGTGGATGAAATAGAAAAGACAACTCAAAAAACCCAAAGTGACGTCAACAAGAAATTAGGTAATCCCATGTCTTCAGCAAGGGTCAAGATGTGTTATCTGTGCTATATGTTCAAGAAGGACTTAGCAAACTAGTTGATAATGAACAGGAGTAAATGTCAGTGCCATGCTTGTTGATGTCATGAAAAAATCAAAAATATTTTATAAAATATTTTGAGGCATACTCTTTATTTTTATAACAAAACACACAGAAGTCTATTTTAACCAAACCTCCTGACACAGGGTTGCTAAACTGTTTCCACACAGACTACAGCACTACAGGCACTACACTCTAGAATATGTCTATTCTTAGCCATACCTAAGATCTGAGCTACAGTCCACTTGCTCATAAAATGGGCCCATATTAATACATGTTTGTTATTTTGATTTTACAGAGCAGAGACGGGAAGAAATAAAATTCTGGAAGCAAGAATTAGATAACAAGCTGGAACAAATTGTTCATGAGACAGAGATACTGTTGACTTTCAAGAACAGGCTGGAGAGAGCTTTGGAGGGCTGCAAAGAGCAACTTGTAATTGCCCAAAAGTGTCTCTTGTACAGGTGAACATTCAAGGAGAGAAAAAAAATCTAGATAGCGAACCTTTAACAAACAAGAAAACTGTTTTCTGCAAACTAAACTGCAAACTAAAGGCCCATCTCTCTTTGCACTGCAGTCTGATTTAGGTGTTAAAACACTGGGGAAAGCAGAATTTCATCATCTTCTGTCAGATGCAGGCTTTTGAACAATGTGGCTGATGACTTTTCCTTTTTTCATGTAGGCAGAGACGAGTTGGGATTGACTTGGTGTATGATGAGGTGGAACAGGAACTGGTGAAGGAAGCTGAAGTCATCCAGGGGATTATTGCTTTACTTGGACGTACCTTGGAACAAACAAATGAGCAAATCAGGTACAGAGGCAAAGAGCATAATAGAACACTAATTAGATGAAAATTAATACAGTCATAATACTGAGAAGTTGTAGGGTCAGGCCAAGCACAGGTCCTAAGTTATTTTCAGTGGTAAACAGTAGCAGGAGGTCAGTCCTAATTCATACCACTCAATCAGTAATTGTGAGAGGTTCTGCATGTAGAATACAAAGTACTTGCACTTGATCCTTGGTCTTCTCATGATCCAGTCCTGTGCCTTTAATTTTAACAAGAATTGTACCAACTTATAGAACGGTAGCTTCATACTGTATATTATGTGACTTGACAACTAAGACTTCATAGATGAAAATTTCTGTAACAGCATTTGAATTATCTAAAGCATGTATGCATGCATATTAAGGACACTTGTGAGTGCCTACACTTTGTCTTAGAATTTGGTTGTTTCTTTTCCTAGACAAAATCGTTCAGCAAAATACAACCTGGAAATGGATCTGAAGGACAAATTCACAGCTTTGACGATTGATGATTACTGTGCTAGCTTGACAAATGACACTCCTCATATTATATATGCTGAGAATGCAATGAAACTAGAAGCCAAGTAAGTAGTTCTTTAGTTCAACAAACATATGATAATTATACAGATAATATGGGGTGTCCCAGTAATAGCAAGATTCATTTTGTGTAAAACAGGCTTTATCTTTTTGCCATCTAGTTGTTTCTTTCTGTCTATCATTTTCATATCTGTGTAATATGTCTGTGAAATAAGCCACAATAATTAGGCTCCCAGTGATCTGCAGTTTTTTAAAAGTTTTTGAAGTTCACAGTTAGCTAAGGAAGAAGTTCACATACTGCTTAAACACACAATAGGTTTACTTAACTTCTTTCCTCTCCCAGGGTGTCCCAGTGGGGAGAATCCTGGAGAGTGAGTTTCTGACTCAGATATTAACCTGTCAAATGTGCCCAAACGGGTTAGTTAGTGTGAAAGGTTTAAATGGAAAAATAGCTACCACAGAAAAATGGGCTGAAAAGGGGAACTATATTGAGAAAGCAATGTGTGTGAGAGCCTCAGAAAGTTACTGTTGCTATGCAACAGCTGGCAAACTTGCTATGCCAAGAGGCTGCCAGCCCTTGCAGCCAGCACATGGGCATGCATCAACAACAGGTTATGTAACTCAGAAAGCACCCAGGGTGGTGTTGCCTGCTGTGCAAATGACAACTACAACTTTGTATATCCACTCAATGAAACAAAGAAAGAACCCTCTGAGGAACTTTCCGAGCATCTGCCTGGAAGCCACAGCTGCATGAGGATGACCCTCTAATTCTGGGGATACAGTTGGGGCTGGGCTTCTAAACTGTTGTTCCAGGCAGGAACAATGTTGCATAGGTGAACTGTGTGAGAGAATAAGTGACTGTGTTGTGTGAATAGCTACTTGCTATTAATAATAACAACTTTATTAATGAAAGATGTTCTAAGAAATATTGGTTATTATGTGTGTTTCCCACCACAATAGTTCAATCCTTAGCCAGGGGAGAAGAAAATTATAGCAAAGTTGCTCTATGACTCAAGCAAATTTGTTTTCATCTGACTCTCATCTATTTAATTACAAAATGATAGTGACAGATACGATTGTGACATTCTTTTATATCAATAGAACCCCCAGGACATGTCACACTTAATGGGATGTGCAGTTAAAGTATTGCTTTTTTCTTGATTTTGTGGCATAATTACAGATTTATGAAGTCATGAAGGGCCTGATTCTCTCTGTTGGTGACCTTTTATCTTGAATCTGTTTCAGTTTTGTTAGCCCTGAGGACTGGATAGATTTCTCAAACATAAACGTTGAAAAGGCTGACAAGCAGCGAAACAATTCTTTGGCACTGAAGGCACTTATCGATGGCATCCTCTCACAGACAGCAAATGACATGCGCAAGCAATGTGAGATGGTTAATACTGCTTTTAGAAATTGGATAAAGGAAGTCAAGGATGCCAAGCACAAGCTAGAGACACTTCTTGCAATGGTAAGTCATAGGGGACAGTCAGTAAAAAAGTGGAAACACTAGGCTTGGGTCTACTGGTTTTCCCAATCCAGTGGGTTGCATTTATCCACCACATTTTCCTTTTTGTTCCCTTCTCCCTCCTCTGTAAAAGTCATCTTAGATTTTTTTTTTCTCAGCTCTGTGTGCACCACCACAGAGTTGAATTTCTGGAGTCACTCATTCAATCTAAATGTTACTGTAGCCATCATTAAAGTCAAAATTTTCCTTGTGATTTTTAGTTGCATGGGGCTTCTATAGCTTTTTCAGGATTTTTATATAAGAGCCTGATAATTGATAAAAAGATGGTCAATGTGCTCAAAATTTGACACATGAAAACTGAGTATTAATGTTAAAAATTAATTGCTGAGCGTTAATATTTGGGTTCACCCAGAACACTGTCATCTGCTTTCCAATGAAGGAATCATACTCCTGGCAATATTTGCAAAATATTATTTGATGAAATAACAACATAGGGAGTGTTACTGTGATTGTTACAACTACTAAAGATGATGATGATTTCACACACTGCAAGAGGCAGTGTGCAGAATTTTATTGTTGGATTTGTTAAGGTAATGGATGAGACTGCCTCGCAGGAGAAGAACATTGCAGCCTTAAAGAAGGCAATTGCTGATAAGGAAGGACCTGTAAAAGTGGCTCAAACACGCTTGGAAGCGAGAAACCATCGTCCCAATGTGGAACTATGCTATGACACAGTGCACAGCAGCCTGATGAGTGAAGTTCAAGAGATTACCAAAAATATTCAAAGGCAAGTGGAAATGATGCAAGAGGAAAATCTGTAGTATAGATTACTGGGTTAATTTAATCTGCCACCATGACAATGGGTCCCAGCTATTCTCCCTGAAAAGCTGGAAATTGCTTTTCTCTCAAGTGCAGGACACTTTAAGGGAAGGTAATGGATAGACTTTAAGGGAAGACAATGGCTATTGTCTCTATGAATCCTTTTCCATCTTTTTTTTTCTTGCTCTGAATTCCTAGTCCTTATGAGAAAAAAAAAAAAAACCTATCCATGTTTTCAACTAATGCCTGTCTCTATTTTCCTTAATAGATTAAAGGATGCATTGGCACAGGCTGAGATAGAGCTGAAAAGCCTGAGCCGCCGACAGCTTTCCTTGGAGGAAGAGATCAAGGTCAAGGAGAATACATTGTACATTGATGAAGTGCTGTGCATGCAAATGAGAGAGTCTCTTTGCATAAACGATTACTGAAGTCATCATACTGGGAGACTGTGCTCCAAAGAACCAGCTCCTGCTGAAAATTCATTGGCAGACTTCCAAATTTATTGGCTTGGCTCAATGCTGTCTAGTTGTGTAAGGGAATTAAAACAGACCTAGTATAGCTATTTGTTTCATATGTATAGTACTTTCATTTGTTTCTATGCTCTAAAACATTTGACATCTTCTACTTGGCAATAAAATTCCAGAATAGTGAGAAATGCCCCTTCTTCCATGTTTCTCTCATGTGTAACCAATGATATCTTTTACCATTGAAAAGTGTCGAAAGGCAACTGTGTGGAAGCTAGAGCAGGGGTGTCCTCATAAATCACTCAATAGAAAGCTGGGCAAGTGGGAGGGATGTCACTGTTGGACACAAAATGATTCACATGGATGCAGCTCGAAGTGTGGTGAAAAAAGTTTATTTGTTCTTTCAGTATTTATAGGTTTTCGACAACAGCCAGGGATTGGATAGTCAGGTTACCACCTTCCCAACCACACTGGCTGTGAGAGATGTCCATCAAAAGGCACATCTTTACTGGAATGTATAAACACCAATGTTTATAGTTACTTCCCTGGGAAAGTGGCTAGAAATTATGAAAACAATATCAAAAGGCCTGATTCTCAGGGTGACAGAAGAATGTCTCTCAGAATGGGCCATGCTATGTTTTGTTTTTATCTTAGCATCTGCTGCTAAGAACTAGACAGTATGGCCAACTTAACAGGACCTAACTTATCTAAGTGATAAACTAGATAGCCTATCTGTCTGCATCTGAACCGAGATCAAGTCAAGGCCAAATTTGGGAAAATCACTTCCTCACCCCCATGTCTCAGTTTCCCTATTTATAAAATGGAAACAGTGAGATGGGTTTTTTGAGATGGCAAACATCTCAAAGATGAGATGTTTGAAGCTCTACAGTCAGAAGTGCTGAAAAAAGAGGAGGGTCTTATTTTTGTCAGAGATGCCAGTAAGGATGGAAAAGGGATCACTGTTTCCTTTGCTTCTGGGAAGGGAAAACAAAGCAAGGACAAGATAAATAATGCTGGAGACAAAGGAGTCCACTTCCCAAGTCCAACATTTTAATGCATGGAGTTTAAAATTGTCCCTTGCCTCTCTCTTGCTGGAATGATAACTCCCTTTCAGAGGCATTGCTGTCAAAATTCAAATCCCTTACTAAGGCCCTTCAAAGGATCCATTAATGTAGATGTCACTGGGTGTTCTCCTCTTCCTGTAGTTTACACCATTGGGTAGGTGATGACAAAATAATTAAGTTCTGAGTCAATCAGGTACTTGAATTTCCTGTAAATATCGGCCAACAGCCTCTCCTCCTCAGTGCTGTCCTCTTGGGCTGTATAAATTCTGACCTGTATGCACAAACAGCAGTCATGTCTCTTATATAGAGGGAGCTCAACCCATTACAACACTGCCACGGCAGGTTGGATGGCAGGGGTGCTGCAACTTCCCTGAAGAAGTCTTTGAAAAAACAGCCCAGAGGCATAGGCACATCCCTAGCCTGACTAGTGATTGTCAGCTCAGGCTCAGCGGCAGCTCTCAGGCGATGCAGAGAGGGACTAGAGCACTGTGTGGCATTCCACAGAAAACAGGCCTTTATTAAGAGCAGAGGCCCTCTGTGAAGGGAGCCAACAACAGCAGCTCTCCCCAACAGGGGAAAAACTGGGATTTATATAGAGGAGAGGGGTGGGGAGAAACTAGTAACAGAGTAACTTGGTAAAGTGACAGGGGAAAAACCAATGGGATACAATAAATCAATATAACTTGCAAAGGTCTCTGGGTAAAACATTCCCTCCCTATGAGCAGAAGTATCTTGCTCATAGATTAGCTCTCCAGGAGAGTACCACAACTCTTTTGCTGGCTGACTCCTCAGCCCCCATACAGCTCGTGGCAACAAGAAGCATTTGTGACTAGTAAGGAATCTAGAGAATCAAAATTCCTTGAATTTGAATAGAATCTTAAGACTTTACTCTCTTCCCACTCCCAACTGACTGAAAACATCACCTCCTGCCAAAGAAGTTTTGGGTGGTGTTGGGAGGAATGGGTTAAATAGTGGAAGACTAGCAAGAAGGATTGTAAATCACTCAGGTGATCTTGCAGATGGGAATAGGCCTTGGATAACCCAGTATGAACACCAGCCAGTGACCCTCTGGCATGGACCAGATTTAACAGTGCCTGCATCCCCACTTGTGTGTGTTTGCCTGGGGGTTGCTTTGGGGATGCCTCGGTGAGCAAAGGAAGGGAAATAAATTTACTCTTTGTCTTTTAGCTGTGGTTTTGTGTTTGTCCTGGCTGTCTGCCTGTGCTCACTCAGGCAGGAAGAGCAAGGTTCTTTTTACCCCCAGAACTGATGCATCCCTGGGTTCTGCACGCATCTGTGAGGACCTACTGAATTCAGATTGTATCACACAAAGTAGCATGTCAGCATGGTTTACACCAGCCACAGTTGTGGCCTGGCCCCAGTTCAGCACAGGACCCCTGAATGGTGTGATGTGTTTATATCTTTTTGCAGTTTAGTGGGATTCAGTCCACCTTTGCTGGTTTAAGCATAGACACAAGCACTGAGCTTGAGAGATAACTGAGAAACCATAGAAGTGGGAGAGGGCTTGAGCTAGAAGTGACAGAGGGAATGCCAGTCTAGGAAGGGCTTCTGGAATTTTCAGGACTTCATAAAAAACTTCTGTAGTATCTGTATGTTGCTAAGAAGGTTGGAAAGCCTCATTCCTGTGAGTGGTACTAAGGCATAACATAGGGAAGATAATTATATTAACATTTCTGTAAGTGACGTTTGCCTGTGCATGGGGACCTTTGGGTATAGGAGCAAGAATGGGAATGGGAGTTTTGAAGCACAAAGTCTTACCTTTATGGTAGTCAAAATGCATTTCCTTTCTGCACGGTTTTGTAGCAGCCTCTCCATAAAGCTGACGCTTAGAAATGCCCAGACTTTCAGAAATAACAACCTCTTGCATGATAAGATAAGATGTAATAGCTCATTGTCCAGCAACTCACGGTCATTGTTCAATTCAAGTGTTAATTTCTTGAAAAAAAATGAACACTTAGTACTACTAAACAGACGTTGCATGCAGAAACTAGAATTCAACAAATAGTTTTCCAAGTTAACCAACAAAAATGAGTGTCAGCAGATCAATTTTGTACCTTGACATTAGCGGAGAATCTCTTTTGCATTGACAACAGTGTATGTGTTAACACTCTCCTGCTAAGAAGGGGTGATCCTTTGTACATTTATTAGAAAATGCTGTACCCACAGTCATACCATGATCTTATCTGACATAATGAAAATTATCCCAGAGACAAGAGTAGAGCCAATGATGGTTTCTAGAAAGCTTTACAGATCTCTGGTGTTTATTGGAAACTCTACAGTGAAACAGGACTTAAAGCAGTCAGCAACCATCAGGTAAGGCCATGTGTTTCCCTCTGGTGTGCAAAGACCTGATACTCACTTATGTGGGTCAGGTGTTGCAAACCTTTGGTGACACATCTCTTGTGACATGGAAGTGCTTTAACGCAGGCAAATTTAATTTAATTTTGACACAGTTAATTTAGATGTGCTGTAGGACATTTGTGCATTGACAAAATAGAGTAGCTTGATAGCATTATGGTGGATTATAAGTAGACAAGGATTGCTTAATGAACTAACACTATGGGTGAAACACTGAAATTACTCACTTGTGAAAGTGCCCTCTGAACGTAAAACTGATGTAGTCAGGAACTTCTGTTGCTGACTGCTGTCATGTAGAAGGCCTACATGATTACTTTGTATAGTTTTGCATTGCGATATTGCAGTAGGGTTGTCCCTATCGTTTCCCTTACCTGCAGACCATGCCAGTAAGCTGGGAGAAGGTTGGTGAGGGTAGGTCTCATTGTCCAGTCTGGGTCACTAAAATAGCAGCTCCGTAGGCTGATGCTCCTAACTGGGATCTCCACAAGTAGGATCCTAGCTAGGTGATCATGCTTCATTACTCTTTCAAAGAAGAAGTTCACATTCAGTTTCGGGGCTCTCTTGGCCAAGTTTGCCCACGACATTCCTGAGACCACTTGCCCATGAGGGTCATGGATATGACACTTGATATTCAAAGTGCACAGTGAGTGAGAGCTGTGCTCCCGCAGGATGTCCAGCAGTTCATCAGACATGCAGTTATAATTGAAAGTCAGGGTGGTTAGCCTGTGGAACTTAGACATAGTTTGGTGGAACAAAGCACTGCTGTAGACAGAAAGGTGGAGACTGAAGAAATCCTCAATATTGATTTCAGATATAAAGCTTCTATTAGTCAAGCTGCTCAGAGAATTCAGAAGCTCACAGCCTTCTTCCAAAGTTATTCTTGCTCCTTTTAAGTTAAGATAATCAAGTTGATTGCTCATTCTTTTCAGGAAGGCAGCTAAGTTCTTGATAAACTGAGCCCTAACTACATTTTTCCAGATCAAGCAGTCTAACTCTAGGTACTTTATGCTCAGGGATACTAGGTGACTATTACACTTGCCCAGGTGTGAAAGAAGACCTCTCATAATCACTTGAAATTTTTTGATAAAGGGGGTATTGTAAGGATTTGATAACTTGATCTCAAGGTGCTTCAAATACTTGCCAAATTTCTTGGTATACCACAGTGCACTTTGAAACTCCAGTGTGCGTGCCCTTGATGGTTGGCCATAGAACGTGATGGTTCTGCATCTCCAGAGAGATCCAGAGTGCATGGCACAACTCCATTTTTTACAGACCAAGGCAGCCCGAGATCTGTCTCTGTCATCTAACCAATGGAAGACATGCCTCAGACAGACATCGGGTAGATAGGCCCAGGACCTTTGCTCAGGTCCACCGTCATCTTCCATTGAGAGGACTTCTTTTCCAGGTCTTGAGTCAAACCAACATGCAGAAAGCTGTGTGTAGATTTCTTGCCAATCCCAGCATAATAGGCTTCTAAACAAATGGATGCAAGTTTGCTTCTTCACAATCAAAACCAACAGCCCTTTGCCTCTGTACTCCAGCTGTCAGAGTCAAACAAACTCTTGAGTTTAAACTGTAGTCTTACCTAAATAAAAAAAAAAAACAAAAAAAACCCAAAAAACCAACCAAAAAAAAAAGTAGAGTGAAGAATAATTACAGTACAAGCACAGGACACATCTTTTAACTTTTCTGTCTTCAGTCTAGCTTAACAGTGAAATGGTATCAGCTGCTGCTACAGCAGCCACACCCTCTTCAAAACCTTTGGTTAGCATCAGCTGCAATTAATTGATCGTGGTTTGTGATCTGATGCCTGTTTAAAAGTACTCAGTTCTTTGAGCAGTATACATTTGAACCGGACCATCAGTGCAAACTTAGCTCTAATGACTTTTCATAGCCTTCTGGGGTACCATTCCATGACAAGTAGTACCCTACCCTATATTAAGGCTGGATAAAAAAGTTGAAATGGATGGAAACAAGAAGCACACCAGAAGAAGAAGAAAACATGCAGATCCATGAGAGTCAGTTTACAATTCTACAAAGGCTCAGATATTTCTGTTTCAGTTTTATAAACAGGCATGAAAGGACAGGCTGATAGCACTGTTAAGCTTCAGTCTGCTGTTTGTCTTTTGGCCTACAGTTCTTATGCCACACAGAGTCTCTCTGCCTGTACACATACTCTTCAATTAGCACCATTTCTATTCTTAGGGATTCCTCTGCCCACTCTTGCCACTCAAAGTGCCAATCCACATCCCCATCTACAAAGATAACCCTTAGAAACTGAGTGTGTGGTCTGATTACCACCTGACTCACTCTCTTGTATGCTTTACCCTCAAGAAGAGCTCTTTGTTTTGCAGAACTATTAGTCATTTAGGAGGTCTCTAGATCAGTATTCAAAAATCCAAGCCAAGTCTTAAAATACGGTGGGTGAAGCTGCAGTTTGCTAGCAAGAAGAACCTGAAACTTTTACTATTGAGATTGAGGGTGGGGAGGACACAGGGGAAGAGGTCTAACACTTCAGCTACCTGGATGTCCTGAAGTCAATGGACAGAGGAAAGCAGAACAGAATATAGGGCTGCAACACAAAGAAACACATCTGTTCATAAAGGATGTTTATTACATTACACTCATCATTATTAGTGTGTGAATACAAAGGGCTGCAAACACCATCAAGAGGAACTTTTTTAAAACCAGAGTTCTTATGAATTTGTAAAAAGTATGTTTGTTTATAAGCCAGTGGTGAGATTCAAGAGGTATCCTGCAGTGTTGCTGGGTTGGCTTCCCCATCATTGTAAGCCAAGTATTAGCTAAAGAGGTGTTATAGCTATCAGCTCGGAGTTTAACTTAGTGTGGGGAAAATAAATCTTCGGAAAAAAAAAACCCAGTTCCTGCTACAGTTCCTTCTACAGCATTGTTTTTTCAGGCATCAGTCATTTAAAGATAAATGAATGCTTTTCATGTCTTGTTTGACACTTGGGTAAGAAAAAAAAAAAAATCAAAATCCCCCACCGCTGAACACACATCCTTTGCCCTTGGCCCTCTTTGCTGCCTGATTTGTTTCAAAGGGCATTCCCGGATGGTTTACGGTCCCACACGGACAGTTACACTAGCTGTTTTCTGCAGCAAGAGCTGCAGAAGCCCGTGGAGTAAAAGGAAACAAACAAAAACCTTCTAAGACTTTGACCGATAATTACCAGAAGTAACAGGAGCTGCGGCTTGGATACCCAAGCGGGCAACACAGCCTGAGTCCTTTTACTATTCCAGCTGACGGGGATCTCCGGGCCGAGGTCCGCAAAGGCGCCAGAGCCGCGGGCGGAGGGGCAGCGCAGCCCCTGCAGTTGTGCCGCTGGCCCGGGACATTCCGCTCAGCACCGGCACGCGCCGCCCTCCTCACTCGCGGCTGCTCCGCGCGCGCCGAGCCGAGTAACGGCAGCAGCCCGCGCGCGGGGCCCAACCAATTGGGGCGGGCGGGCGGCGGCTGCGCCGCCAA